GCTGCTGCTGCTGCTGCTGCTGCTGCTGTCCAAAATCCGAATTTCGAGAAGCGGCTGGAAAGCAGTGGAGGGATGTGGAGGCATCGCGCATCTTCGCGAGCTTTTCTGTGCGCAGGTTGGGCTCGGCTGCGGAGAAGAGAGTGTGAGTGGCTTCCCTGCAGCGGCTCCAGCTCCAAAGCCATGTGGTGAATCAGCGGCAGCGGCAGCGGCTGCGCACGGCTTCCAAAGTATAAGAACACCTCACCGCTTCCTCCGCACTCCTTGCTTCCGACCAACCATTCCAGATCCAAAGTTTCACCCACGTACCTCCATACCCATACCCATTCGCAACGCATTCATACCCTGGTCTAGTCTATCGATCATCATCTCCACACAGCATAGGCACCCTTCTGCGACTCTAGCATCATCTTCACCATGTCGTTCGAATTCACAGACCGAGCCCAGTCCTCCGTCTCGGCAGCCCTCCAGCTCGCCAAGGACCACTCCCACCCACAGGTGAGCCCGGCGCACCTCGCATTAGCCCTGCTCACCGACGACACCTCCAACTCGCAGGGCGTACAGTCCACCAACGAGTCGAGCCAGTCGCTCTTCAAGAGCATCTGTACAAAGGCAGGCGTCGACATCAAGATCTTGGAAGACAAGTTGCGCACCGCGCTGCGCAAGGTTCCATCCCAGACGCCGCCGCCCGACGACATCAGCCTCTCGAGCCCGGCGCTCAAGGTGCTCAAGGAGGCCGAAAACCAAAAGAGCACCCAGCGCGACGCCTACATCGCACAGGACCACATCCTCCTCGGCCTCATCAACGACAACACCATCAAGCAGCTCCTCAAGGAAGCCGGCCTCGCCAACGAGCAGCTCATCAAGACCGCCATCACGCAGGCAAGAGGCGGCCGCCACATCGACTCCAAGAGCGCAGAAGCCGGCTACGACGCGCTCGCAAAGTACTGCACCGACCTCACCCAGCTCGCCGCCGAGGGATCCCTCGACCCCGTCATCGGCCGCGACAACGAGATCCGCCGCGCCGTACGCGTCCTTTCGCGCAGGACCAAGAACAACGCCGTGCTCATCGGCAGCCCCGGCGTCGGCAAGACCGCCATCGTCGAAGGCCTCGCACAGCGCGTCGTCGACCGCGACGTCCCACCCAACCTGCTCGGCAAGATCCTCAGCCTCGACGTCGGCGGCCTCATGGCAGGCGCAAAGTACCGCGGCGAGTACGAGGAGCGCGTCAAGTCGGTGCTCGCAGACATTGAAAAGATGACCGCCGACGGCACCCCCTGCATCCTCTTTATCGACGAGATGCATCTGCTCATGGCCGGCCAGGGCAGCTCCGGCGGCGGCATGGATGCGGCCAATCTGCTCAAGCCCATGCTCGCGCGTGGCAAGCTCCGTGTCATCGGCTGCACCACCGCCAACGAGTACCGCCAGTACATCGAGAAGGACGCTGCGCTCGAGCGCCGCTTCCAGTCCATCCTGGTCAACGAGCCCAGCGTCGAGGACTGCATCGCCATCCTGCGCGGCATCCGCGACAAGTACGAGGTGCACCACGGCGTGCGCATCCTCGACCCCGCCATCGTCTCGGCCGCGCAGCTCGCCAAGCGCTACCTCACCGATCGTCGTCTGCCCGACTCGGCCATCGACCTGGTCGACGAGGCGTGCGCCGACGTGCGCGTCTCGCGCGAGACGGTGCCCGAAGAGGTGGACAAGCTGGAGCGCAAGCGGCTCCAGCTCGAGATCGCCGTGCATGCGCTGTCGCGCGAGAAGGATGCGCAGTCCAAGCAGTCGCTCGACGAGACTCGCAGGCAGATCCAGGCGATCGACGACGAGCTCGCACCCATAAAGGCGGCCTACGAGGCGCAGAAGGCCAAGGGCGACGAGATCAACAGCGTGCGCCGCAAGATGGAGGAGGTGCGCGCCAAGATCGCCGAGGCCGAGCGCAGGTACGACCTCGCCACGGCGAGCGACCTCAAGTTCTACGCGCTGCCCGACCTGGAGACCAAGCTGCAGCAGCTGCAGGCGGCCGAGCGCAGGCGCGAGGAGGAAGGTCGCGATGCCGACAACAACGCCGTGACGGCGGACGCGATCGCGAGCATCGTGGCGCGCTGGACGGGCATCCCTGTGTCGCGCATGCTCGAGTCGGAGAAGAGCAAGCTGCTGCGCCTCGAGCGCACGCTGGCCAAGGAGGTCATCGGCCAGGACGAGGCGGTCAAGAGCGTGGCGCAGGCGATCCGGCTGTCGCGCTCGGGGCTGGCGGATGCCAACCGACCCATCGCGTCGTTCCTCTTTGCCGGTTCATCGGGCTCGGGCAAGACGCTGCTGAGCCGCACGCTGGCCAAGTGCATGTTTGACTCGGCCGACGCCATGGTTCGCATCGACTGCAGCGAGTTTTCGGAGAAGCACTCGATCTCGCGCCTGATCGGTGCGCCGCCCGGCTACGTGGGGCACGAGGAGGGCGGCGTGCTGACCGAGGCGGTGCGTCGCAAGCCGTTTAGCATTGTGCTGCTCGACGAGATCGAAAAGGCGTCGCGCGAGTTTGTGCAGCTCTTCCTGGGCGTGCTCGACGAAGGAAGGCTGCAGGACAGCCAGGGCCGACAGGTTTCGTTCCGCAACACGATCATCATCATGACGTCCAACTTGGGATCGGCGTACATCAACGAGGCCGAGGAGGACGAGATGGGCGATGCGACGCGCCAGCTCGTCATGGGCAGCATCAAGGCGGCGCTGCCCACCGAGTTTGTCAACCGCATCGACAGCATTGTGGTGTTTAGCAAGCTCTCGCGCCGCAACGTCAAGGCGATCGTCGACGTAAGGCTGCGCGAGATCGAGCAGCGCATCGTGGCCAACGGCGGCAAGTCGAAGCTCGTGCTTGATGATGCCGCCAAGGACTTTTTGGTGGCGACTGGATTCTCGCCCACGATGGGCGCCAGGCCGCTCAACCGGTCGATCCAGCAGGAGCTGCTGTCGCCGCTGTCGATCCTCATTCTGTCCGGCAGGATTGACATTAAGGAGGATGCAGAGATTCGAGTGCGCTTCGACAAGCACCGCAACGGGCTGGTGGTGGAGCCCAATCACGAGGCGAGCACGTCCAATGGCGCCGACGATGTGGCCATGTCCGACAGCGACGAGGATGACGACGAGTATGCGCGTATCGAGGAGGATCCTCTGGACTGAGCGTGTCGCCTCCGCATCTGCATCTGCATTTCTCATCACTCTTTCACTTGTTTACTGCATTTGGTCGTTTGGATCCGAAAAGGTTTGCATTTCCAGCTCTTGTTCTGTGCCAAGTGTGTGTGTATGTGTGTGTGTGTGTGTGT